TATATATATAGTGCATTACTTTTTATTACTAGAACGCAAGGTACTAAACTATATATATGTATATGAAATGTAGTGTCTTTAAAGTTATAAAAAATTTTGTCAAAAATTGCCTAAACCGCCTAAGAAGAGCTCGAAACGTAAGCAATATTTGTACCCTCTGTCTCACATGGAAAGTTTTTATAGCTATGAATGCATTTTTTTTTTCAGTGCATATACCAGAACAGTTAACATTTTATATTGCAAATACCTAAAACACTAACACTTTGCATTACAGTCAAACACAAATGAAATATGAATTAGGTTCGAACTCATTACTTTTTATTAGGAGAACACAAAGTAGCAAAAGTCATTGAGAATATATGCATATGAAATGTAGTGTTTTTGAAGCTATAATGAATTTTGTCAAAAAAGCCTAAACTGCCTAAAGAGAGCTTGGGACGGAAGTGATTTTTGTACCACCCTCCACATGGGAAGTTCTTATAGCTACAAAAAATCATTCTTTTGAATGCATATATCAAAACAGTTAGCAGTTATAATGCACAAGCTTTGATTTATTTGCTAAATTTTAGCTCTTACGTTTAGATAAAATCAACTACAGGATCAGACCTAATTATAAAGTATAAGTATAAACACGTCATGATTGTTAATATGTTTAGATGGCGAGCTGCGAGTCGCGGAGGACTTCACCCCCACCTGTGTTGGTGGATGTAACTGCTCCGTAAAAGTCTCTCAGTTGATAACATTAGTGAATTGAAGGGAAAATTACTTTGTCTATTGAGTTAGGATGTTTCAAGATATAACGTGAATATAGTTTATCGCCTACAAGTGAGTAGTGGTTTTACTGTAACTCATGTCGATGATAATATGTATGTTGTGAATTTATGTTATTAGAAGTCATGAACCACATAATATTTATTTCTGTCGAGGTCGAGCCATTACTTGTAGACGCTTCTAACATCCTTGGTCCTTCAAATGTTGATGATCCTTAAATTTTAGGTACAAAAACTTACATATACTTATTTAATGTAACAATTAGATGCATGTAATATAAACTTCCTAAATTTTATGACTTCTATTTAATAGGCCAACCCCAATTTCTTTCAATACATATGACACCTGGTTATATAATTTATCCAAACAACTAGTGAACAATTATAGTGCACATCGATCATTTGGCTTATCACATTCATTTCACTCTTAGGTTAGCAAACATGTTAAGCGTGTCATGCAACGAGAGTCGTTGTATATGCACTTAGATGCTAACACAGGTGAATATGAAAAGATGGATAGTGGCACTTGTGACAATTCAAGTGAGTCAGAGGCGAATGAGGATTATAGTGGGCGAGATGGTTGTCGAATATTGTATTTACCAGGACATGATTTATTATGCCAATATGCAATGCTAAATACAGAGTTGTTAGATTCAATGGTAGAGGACAATCAGTTTGTGAGACCAATTCAAATGAGTGAAGAATGGGACATGAAGATAATATAATCCTGGATTTATTATCTGAGAGAATAATATTTTCAAGTAAGGATGTGTTACAATGTGCCATGAATGGATGGTCGATAATTAATAATGTAGAGTAAATTAGAAAAACTTCAAATTTAAAAAAAGCTTATTGTTCAGTGTATGCATTATAATTATGAATCATGTCCATGTCATTGCTGTCTACACACTGAAAAGCGAGCGATTAGGAGGTGCATGGAAAATTTTTGTAATTGGGCCATTACACACATGCAGTCTTTTAATAATATTAAATGGACACCGAAATTGCACTTCGAAGTTCATATGCCATTACATAGGTTCAGTTTTGAGGCAACTGTTATCAATAAAATTGGAAGTGTGTCAAGTGACACCTTTCAGATCGTATTATGTGACAGTTTTTAAACATTTAGTATATAACCATTGAACCCATCAAACCAGGTTTTGAGAGAGTCGATAAGCGAGGTAGAGCAAGAACTGACTAGGAGCAATATCACAGTAAATATATCGAGATATGAAATAATTGTCAGGCATTTATTGTACCTTTAGAGCCACCACAAGGAGACGGAAATGAAGAATTATCTCATTATTTGCAGTGATATCCCTCTTGGGTGTCGCTTTACTCAATGAAGCCTCCAAGTCAACCTCTTGATACCCATTACACACGATCATCAGGAGAGAGAATGATGGTATATTTGCATTCTTTATAGCAACTACTAATTTTTTTTATAATACATAATATTAATATAATATTGTCAATTTTACAACTGGATTACTTAATTTGTAGTAAGGACATTGCAAAAAGTTTTGAAAGAGATTATGGTGCAAGTTATAGTTCAATGAAACAAGGTTATGACGAGTTTTTGGAGCCATCACGTAAGGTTGAAGAATCAATACATATTGATTATATTGCATTTGATCGGCCAATTCTCATAGAACAAATGTCAAACTTCAAGGCTCATGTTGATCAACCTCTGATGCTCCATGTTGGTTGCCTTCCACTGCTGCGAGACAATCAACTATAGATGCTCCATGGAGATTTTCTGTTAGCAAAACATAAAGATCTTTGTTTCAAGAGACACAAGAACAACAATATCTAGAGGCATTTGATTATCCTGTCCAACAATATCTAGAGACATTTAGGACTATCCAACTATGCAGGACCCTCTGGATATAATGTGTTATCAACATATGAGGTTCCATCATTTGACTTGCAGTGAACAACCACTACTGGTGAAAATTTGGATTTAAATTTTCAAAACATGCTCATGTCTAAACCTATTTCTAATGTATGCATGGATTTCAATACAATATAATTTTATTTTCCATCAAATCTCAACAAAAAAATTAATTGGATTACACAAGATGCTACGAATGACACACTTAAAGCGACGATATTAAAGAAGAATTTCAAGGGCATCAGTTGCATCATCAACCACTACAATCACTATCTCAATATACATTAGGCTTAGACATTATTCCACCTTGACGTAGAAGATAATATTTTTTGTAATTATTATGTTTGTTAATTTAATTTGTTCAATTAATTTATTTTATTCAATTTTGTACATATTTATATATAAAATAAATTTTATGAGTTTCATATTTTCTTAGTTAATTTAATTTGCTCAATTATATTTTTTGATTAATTAA